TCCCACCCGGTACATCCCTATAGGTTATCCCATTCGTGTCCCTGGAATATCTGATATCCATTCTTCACATCAGAGAGTCATTCAATATCATCAAAATATTGAGTCGAATTTTTTCGAAAATGTATTTCTTCCGGAAAATAATTGTGATGAAAATAAAGAATATAGTCTCAAAACTTCTCAAGAAATGACCATTTTTCGCAAACAGAGATCGTAAATGCATAATGCCCCTCATTTTCAAACACCCAAGAATGATAATAATTATACCCGAATCCTAACAGTTTTATTTATCCAGGTTTCTGTAGTTGTCCTGTTTATAAATCTGTTCAATACATGAATCTTCAGAAGGCATATTGGCCAATGGAGTAAGGTGCGTGCCTGATAAGCTGAAGGTCCCGGGTTCAATCCCAACTAGACCTACTTTTTTTTTTCTTTTGTCGAAGGGATGTCCCTGGGATATCCTTGGGACGTCCTAGGGATATCCCTTCTTTGTACTCGGTACATCCCAGGGACGTACCAGGAGGGACATCCCTTGGATGTCCTTTTTGTCTGAAAGCGGATGTCCCTGGGACGTCCCTAGTATGTACTTTGTCCCAGAAAAGATATCCCTGGGATGTCCTTATTCGAAATTAGGGATGTCCCTGGGAAGTCCCTAGGATGTACTCGTGTTGTTTTATTTCATTAGAAAATTGTTTCTCGATAAATTCAGAAAGTTGGTAATCTGCAAGGATTCAGCAAAAAAAGCAGTAATCCGGAAAATTTTATAGATAAATGAATGAATAAAAAACAAAATGCTCACAAAAGAAGCCTCTTTCTTATAGGGTGCAAGCACTTTCTATGCCATTACTCAATTAACACACAGGGTAAGTCAAAAATTAAGAATAAATCAGGGTTCGAGTTATTCCACAACCATCAAGGAGGCTTTGAAAACATTTTCACCTCTTTATTTTTTTTTAAAGACAAATGCATTACCTACCAACAAATAGAAAAAAAACGGCCTACTATTTTTTTTATGAAGATAGGTCAAATATCAAGTGCGTCACTTTTTTTGGAATTGAGTGTATTTTGGTGAGATATATGTATCCTGTTAAGAAAACCTCACTTTCAGATTAACCCAGTATACAAAATTTGTGGGTTTTATTTATTTTCCAGTTATCAAAGATCTGAGATTATTGCTTTCATGATAACTCTTCACAACTTTTACCTATTTCGAGGTGGCCAATTATTTTTCCGGAACATTGAAGGGGTGCCTATGATTTCTTGGTCACCCAGTAGAAAACGTAGGTATCAATTTTGCATAAAACTCGATACGATATCAAGTCTGCAACAATAAAACGTGTAATTTCGACGTTTGTCCCACTTATTATTTAGGACCTGATTCAGGTTTTCCGTGACCGCATATTAATTTTCATAATATTATGTCGCGTCTAACAGAAAAAAAAAAGATGGCTGGAACGAGGGCTTAATTGTTGTGGTTATTGAGGTCAAACGAGAGTTTTCGCAGGACTCTTGCAAGGGTGGTAAACACCCTTTGATTCGAGAGCAGTATTTTCGAGACAGGGGCGCATCCAGGACAGAACTTTTTCACAACTGATCAAAATTCAGATAAATATGTTATCCAATGAAGGTTGTTTCGATTCATCCCGTAAGCAAAGTTGAAAGCTATGTTGATGCAATGTTGAAGCAATTACTGAAACGGACGTTCAGCAATATTGCAAAGGTCAAGTTTGTTAATGAAGCGTTGCAGCAATATTACATGTTGCTGTGACATTGCTGGAACGTTACATTTACAAATTTACTACTACCTTGCATCAACAAAGCTTGCAAATTTGCTTAGTGGGATGTTTTTCCAATTTGACTGATTGATATTCGCAACAGATTGTAGTCACGGAACTACAGTGTTGTCATGCCATTTGAATATTAATATACAGGGTATCCGTTTTTCGAGCTCCACGCATGGGGATCTCAGTTATTATAGAAGATACCTAGACGTTTCTAACTGGGACATTCTTGAGGCATTTTTTTTTCATTTATTGTTTACACAAAACATATAAAGTTTTATAAACAAGAAATCCGGTGGTACATAATGGTATCAATATAAATATAATGTGGTCTATTCAAAAAACAAAAAGAAAAACAACAACAAAAGTGGCAGTGCGTGAATCAAATTGTTCATATTCTCTAAGCAGGGAGTATTACAAGGTCGCATCGATGTGTAAATTGGGCAATCAAATAATAAATGATGGATTGTTTCAAGCTCATACCGATTACAAACTGAGAAAATTTCCCTCGGGTTAATGCGGTGCGTTGAACCACGATAAGTAAATCTTATCATGAATTTGTTACATAATCTGAGTTGCCCAATTAATAGTTCTTGTGACTTGAATAGACACCTTCAAGTGTAGATGGTTTTGGGTTTGATTAGCAAGTGTAAGAGACTGGGATATTGAGAGGAAAGTTGACCTTAGAAACAGGGATTTGTCTTCTTCTCTCAGTCTATTCATATACCTAGAGAGCAGGATCGACTTCTTCTGAACGAGAATTTTAGAAGTGACCTGCGTTAATGGCACATCAAAGTCAACATATTCGAGTTCTTTAGTGACCTCTGTGATGGCCAATTGTACCTCCGATGGGGAGGTCCGATGTGCTCTGGGGTAAAAACCAAAACCGATCGTGAATATTCAACCTTGAGGCACTTTTTCACAAGGAATCTGAATCTGTCATTGTATTTTCCATGACGTTCTAGATGCCAAAGTTAAATAACTTACAGTTTGTTTTTTTTTCATAGGTGCCATATTGGATTTTTGCATTCTTGAAGTCTTCTTTTTATTACAATGATGTATCACACGATATATCTACTCAAAAACTATGGTTTTGAATAAGGAACGACGTAAGGAGCTAGAAGTTTATTCTCCGCAAAACAAAACAAAGTTATAAAAGATGCTCGAATACTCCACCTTCCACTTCCGCGAAATGTACCATTTTCTTATCTTAGTCCTGAAAATGGTGATTATGGTTCATTTCAGCTCATCAATATCGATCAGTACAGTTTTGAAAATCAGATCTTCCATTGTTCCCAATAAATAATAATCCAGCGGGAAGAGATCAGCTGACCGCGCTGGCAAACGTATATGTATCCGTTGTTGGAAATGAACTTGCCAAGGAACATATCTGACACACTCGGCAACCCTTTTTGCGTTATGTGGATGAGCTGAGGAATTCAACAGTTCTGTTCGAATAATCAATTGAACTGTCAAAGTTCAGTTTGTTAAACAAAACTGTTGGCGTTTCTTCCAAAGCACTCTTCGCAAAAATGATTTTTCCCAATTTTGATCATCCGGAAAGATTCGATCATATTGTGTGATACATCATTGTAATAAAAAAAAGTTGAGTGTTGTAATGGGCATGTACACCTTAGTAGAACTTTCAACTCATACCATGTTTATAATGATCCTTTTATACATAAATAATGATTGACGACATAATTCGATCGAAAAATTAACTGGAATGTTTTATTTTTGGACATGAATGATAGGACCTTCTGAAATGACGTAGAAACCTCATCTCGCCATAGTTAAAAGAATACCAAACGCCCGACGGAGACTGAGGCAACTGATATATTATATTAATTCTTTCAACTGTGATCTCGCGCTAATTCACTCTGTCAGAAATCATGTATCATTCATCTCTGTCTGGAATACTCTTGTTTCAGTGTTAGGGTTTTGACGTCACATCATAGCCTCGTTTTCAGAGGTCCGAAAAATCGGGGATTTCAATATTTTTTTATAAAACGTAGGGAGCTCACAGCAAGAAACGGTTTGCGGTGGTGAGCTAGTTTGGGTGAGTTCTATCGAATTATGAAATAAATTTTTTTGTGATATAAGCCCTTTTTGGCACCAAGAACGTCTTGGAAAATACGATGACAGATTCAGATTCCTTGTGGAAAAGTGTCTCAAGAATGTCCTAGTCAGAAACATCTAGGTCTTTTGGTTTTTGCTTGAAAAAATAAAAACGAAAATCACAAATTTTCGTTTTCAACTTGCAACTTTGCCCTAATTTTCGACCTCTTATCTCTTATAATAACAGATCCCCATAGTCGAGCTCGAAAAACGGGCACCCTGTATATAAAAATGTCAGAAATTAACCCCAAATATTTATTTCAAATGTGAAAATTTTCATTTTTATTTTCTTTTCTCTATTTGATTCTGATGTTCTTCATAATTCACAGAGACTGTCAATAAATTCTCAGAGTTGAAAAAACTGAAACATCTGTTCATGCATTTTGGTAATCCTTTTCAATGTATGTTATTATTGGTTCATTATTTCATCTTATAATTCCTGGTATTTTTGTATCACACTTGAAGCGAAGTTACAAAGTCAAATACCAAAAAAACTTTTCTTTTATCGGATAATACGGTCCTGTTTTGATTGGTACCTATTTGACACAGCTTTTCACTCACGCGAGGTATTTTGCGCCTGAACAATGTTCCCTTTTTCCTTCATAACGAGCTAAAAACATCAATTTGGTTCAAATAACAGCTTATTTAATTCGAGGAACCTATGACATATATTTCTCATGCAGTAAACGTAGAGAGTAGGCCAAGAACACCAGTTTTCACAAACATGTCTTAGTTTAGTCTCAAGGTGAAAATAATATGTTATCTGGTTAGAATTTTTTTTCAAATGTCACCGATTCCTTGACAAAAAAAACTAAATTTCCAGACTCAACAAACCTTTTCAGCCGATATAACAATGAGAAAACATTTGAGAGGAATCCCACTTACGAATTTTTCATCTCTTGGTGCAAATTTCCAAATTTCACAGTTTACTGCAATATTTTTTCCAGGAGAAAACCTCTATGAAGGAATCTTCATTCATCATCTTTAGATAATCTTGGATCTGACTTGGAAATTGAATAAATTGTATTTTGGACAAATTCTCGCAAAAATAGGAGACAATAAAAAACTGCTTGTTAAATGTACTTTTTTATTCTGAAAAAAAAACTAACAGTCATCTTTATGTCTTTTCTTCTTTTTCGGAGTTACTTGCACAACTAAATCTGTTTCAACATTTTCTGATTTTGAATGCTTTGACTTTTTCTTAGCTTTCACTTCATCAGCAGTGATCATCTCAGTATTTTCCTCAGTTGCCTCAACAGCAACTTCATTTGATTTTGATTTCCTCTTTTTGGTAAGGGGTGGCTCAATATGTTCCTCTACTATGGTCTCAACCTCCTTTTTCTTCTGCTTCTTCTTTTTCTTTTCTACTTCCACTTCTGCGCATATGTCTTCTTCACTAATTCGGGGTGCTTCTTCAAATTTCTTTTTCTTCTTCTTTTTTCTGGACTGATCACCATTAGCTGCATCTTCATGAGCGGTTTCAGTTTCTGCAATTTTCGTCTGATCTGTTTCAACCAATGATTCATCTTCACTTTTTTTCTCCAGCAATTGTCCCTGTTCTTGTACATCAACATTTTCCTCCCCATCCTCGTTTACTCCTCTATCAAATTTCCTATTCCTCCTCCGTTCTTTAGCCTGGACATGCTTCTTGAAATTGAAAATCCTCGTATTGAAAAACAGGTTCTCTTCTCCCTCCTTCAACCTCTCAAACACAGCCACGAAAAACCCATTAGTCAAATCTTCCTCGGGCTTGGCATAGAGGCAAAACTTCCCAATATCCCCGTACTCGGAGGACCCGAAATTCTGCCAAACATCACCGACATACTGTTGAGCAGGCACCAGCTTGAAATTGTAATTTGTCTCCAGGACTTGTCGAACGACATCTTCGTTTTCTTCCGGGTATATGGAGCAAGTGGAGTAGACCACTCGCTTGACGTCCGGGTAGCGGGTCAGGGCGCTCCTGAGGATCTTGATCTGGAACCCGGTCAGTTTTTCCAGACGGTTCTGGTCCCCGGCCATTTGGTTGGCTTCCACGCGGTCGGACATACCTGGAAAAAACACATTGGCCCACTAAGCATCTGTTTTTTAGGCTCTGGAATGCGGAAGCTCAGACTTGCTTGGGAACTGAAAGCAGTGCTTCTACTGGGGACTCTTCAGAAAAACGGTGCTTCAATACTGGGAATTCTTCTCTGAAGAATGAACAGTAATTATACTGAGAATTCTTCAGAAAAGCAGTGCATCTACTGGAAATTCTTCATAAAAACAGTACCCATACTGTGAAATCTTCTGAAAAGAAATGCTTCTACTGGGAATTATTCAGAAGAACAGTACTTATACTGGGAAATCTTCTGAAAAGGAATGCTTCCGCTGGGAATTCTTCAGAAGAACAGTACTTATACTGGGAATTCTTCTTGGCCCACTGAGCATCAGTTTTCTAGGCTCTGGAGTGCGGAAGCTTGGGTCTGCTTGGGAACTGAAAGCAGTGCTTCTACTGCAGAATCTTCAGAAAAGTGGTGTTTCTATACTGGGAATTCTTTGAAAAATGAACAGTAATTATACTGAGAATTCTTTTGAAAAGCAGTGCATCTACTGGAAATTCTTCATAAAAACAATACCCATACTGGGAAATCTTCTAAAAAAGAATGCTTTTACTGGGAATTCTTCAGAAGAATAGTACTTATACTGAGAATTCTTCTTGGCCCACTGAGCATCAGTTTTCTAGGCTCTGGAATGCGGAAGTTTAGGCTTGCTTAGGAACTGAAAGCAGTGCTTCTACTGGGGAATCTTCAGAAAAGCGGTGCTTCTATACTGGTGATTCTTCTCTGAAGAATGAACAGTAATTATAATGAGAATTCTTCTGAAAAGCAGTGCATCTACTGGAAATTCTTCATAAAAACAATACCCATACTGGGAAATCTTCTGAACAGGAATGCTTCTACTGGGAATTCTTCAGAAGAACAGTACTTATACTAGGTACTCTTCTTGGCCCACTGAGCATCAGTTTTTCAGGCTCTGGAATGCGGAAGTTTAGGCTTGCTTGGGAACTGAAAGCAGTGCTTCAACTGGGGAATCTTCAGAAAAGCAGTGCTTCAATACTGGGAATTCTTCTGTGAAGAATGAACAGTAATTATACTGAGAATTCTTCTGAAAAGCAGTGCATCTACTGGAAATTTTTCATAAAAACAATACCCATACTGGGAAATCTTCTGAACAGGAATGCTTCTACTGGGAATTCTTCAGAAGAACAGTACTTATACTGGGAATTCTTCTTGGCCCACTGACCATCAGTTTTCTAGGCTCTGGAATGCGGAAACTTAGGTCTGCTTGGGGACTGAAAGCAGTGCTTCTACTGGGGAATCTTCAGAAAAGCGGTGCTTCTATACTGGGAATTCTTCTCTGAAGAATGAATAGTAGTTATACTGAGAATTCTTTTGAAAAGCAGTGCATCTACTGGAAATTCTTCATAAAAACAATACCCATACTAGGCAATCTTCTGAAAAGGAATGCTTTTACTGGTAATTCTTCAGAAGAACAGTACTTATACTAGGAATTCTTCTTGGCCCACTGAGCATCAGTTTTTCAGGCTCTGGAATGCAGAAGTTTAGGCTTGCTTGGGAACTGAAAGCAGTGCTTCAACTGGGGAATCTTCAGAAAGGCGGTGCTTCAATACTGGGAATTCTTCTCTGAAGAATGAACAGTAATTATACTGAGAATTCTTCTGAAAAGCAGTGCATCTACTGGAAATTTTTCATAAAAACAATAACCATACTGGAAAATCTTCTGAAAAGGAATGCTTTCACTGAGAATTCTTCAGAAGAACAGTACTTATACTAGGAATTCTTCTTGGCCCACTGAGCATCAGTTTTTCAGGCTCTGGAATGCAGAAGTTTAGGCTTGCTTGGGAACTGAAAGCAGTGCTTCAACTGGGGAATCTTCAGAAAGGCGGTGCTTCAATACTGGGAATTCTTCTCTGAAGAATGAACAGTAATTATACTGAGAATTCTTCTGAAAAGCAGTGCATCTACTGGAAATTTTTCATAAAAACAATAACCATACTGGAAAATCTTCTGAAAAGGAATGCTTTCACTGAGAATTCTTCAGAAGAACAGTACTTATACTGGGAATTCTTCTTGGCCCACTGACCATCAGTTTTCTAGGCTCTGGAATGCGGAAACTTAGGTCTGCTTGGGAACTGAAAGCAGTGCTTCTACTGGGGTATCTTCAGAAAAGCGATGCTTCAATACTGGGAATTCTTTGAAGAATGAACAGTAATTATACTGAGAATTATTTTGAAAAGCAGTGCATCTACTGGAAATTCTTCATAAAAACAATACCCATACTGGGAAATCATCTGGAAAGGAATGCTTTTACTAGGAATTCTTCAGAAGAACAGTACTTATACTAGGTACTCTTCTTGGCCCACTGAGCATCAGTTTTTCAGGCTCTGGAATGCGGAAGTTTAGGCTTGCTTGGGAACTGAAAGCAGTGCTTCAACTGGGGAATCTTCAGAAAAGCAGTGCTTCAATACTGGGAATTCTTCTGTGAAGAATGAACAGTAATTATACTGAGAATTCTTCTGAAAAGCAGTGCATCTACTGGAAATTTTTCATAAAAACAATACCCATACTGGGAAATCTTCTGAACAGGAATGCTTCTACTGGGAATTCTTCAGAAGAACAGTACTTATACTGGGAATTCTTCTTGGCCCACTGACCATCAGTTTTCTAGGCTCTGGAATGCGGAAACTTAGGTCTGCTTGGGGACTGAAAGCAGTGCTTCTACTGGGGAATCTTCAGAAAAGCGGTGCTTCTATACTGGGAATTCTTCTCTGAAGAATGAATAGTAGTTATACTGAGAATTCTTTTGAAAAGCAGTGCATCTACTGGAAATTCTTCATAAAAACAATACCCATACTAGGCAATCTTCTGAAAAGGAATGCTTTTACTGGTAATTCTTCAGAAGAACAGTACTTATACTAGGAATTCTTCTTGGCCCACTGAGCATCAGTTTTTCAGGCTCTGGAATGCAGAAGTTTAGGCTTGCTTGGGAACTGAAAGCAGTGCTTCAACTGGGGAATCTTCAGAAAGGCGGTGCTTCAATACTGGGAATTCTTCTCTGAAGAATGAACAGTAATTATACTGAGAATTCTTCTGAAAAGCAGTGCATCTACTGGAAATTTTTCATAAAAACAATAACCATACTGGAAAATCTTCTGAAAAGGAATGCTTTCACTGAGAATTCTTCAGAAGAACAGTACTTATACTAGGAATTCTTCTTGGCCCACTGAGCATCAGTTTTTCAGGCTCTGGAATGCAGAAGTTTAGGCTTGCTTGGGAACTGAAAGCAGTGCTTCAACTGGGGAATCTTCAGAAAGGCGGTGCTTCAATACTGGGAATTCTTCTCTGAAGAATGAACAGTAATTATACTGAGAATTCTTCTGAAAAGCAGTGCATCTACTGGAAATTTTTCATAAAAACAATAACCATACTGGAAAATCTTCTGAAAAGGAATGCTTTCACTGAGAATTCTTCAGAAGAACAGTACTTATACTGGGAATTCTTCTTGGCCCACTGACCATCAGTTTTCTAGGCTCTGGAATGCGGAAACTTAGGTCTGCTTGGGAACTGAAAGCAGTGCTTCTACTGGGGTATCTTCAGAAAAGCGATGCTTCAATACTGGGAATTCTTTGAAGAATGAACAGTAATTATACTGAGAATTATTTTGAAAAGCAGTGCATCTACTGGAAATTCTTCATAAAAACAATACCCATACTGGGAAATCATCTGGAAAGGAATGCTTTTACTAGGAATTCTTCAGAAGAACAGTATTTATACTAGGTACTCTTCTTGGTCCACTGAGCATCATTTTTCAGGCTCTGGAATGCGGAAGTTTAGGCTTGCTTGGGAACTGAAAGCAGTGCTTCAACTGGGGTATCTTCAGAAGAGCGGTGCTTCAATACTGGGAATTCTCCTCTGAAGAATGAACAGTAATTATACTGAGAATTCCTTTGAAAAGCAGTGCATCTACTGGAAATTCTTCATAAAAACAATACCCATACTGGGAAATCTTCTGAAAAGGAATGCTTTTACTAGGAATTCTTCAGAAGAACAGTACTTATACTAGGTACTCTTCTTGGCCCACTGAGCATCAGTGGTTCAACTGGGGAATCTTCAGAAAAGCAGTGCTTCAATACTGGGAATTCTTCTCTGAAGAATGAACAGTAATTATACTGAGAATTCTTCTGAAAAGCAGTGCATCTACTGGGAATTTTTCATAAAAACAATACCCATACTGGAAAAACTTCTGAAAAGGAATGCTTTCACTGGGAATTCTTCTGAAAAGCAGTACTTCCATTGAAAATTCTTCTAGGGCTAGGGAGGAAACCATTACATAATAATAATACCTGGAAGAGTGTACTTAGGACTGCAAAATGTATGAGTGTTATATATTTCTGGAAATCACAGAGCATCAATGTTTCAAATATGAAAATCTGACTACTCCACTGGACTCTACGTGAAAAAATGTGTTTTACTGTCTCAATAAGTTGAAAGATAACTGAGATACAGGGAGGGTCCCAAAATGCAACATTTTCAATTTCGCCCTGTATCTCAAAAACGAAACAAGTTATGAAAATTTCGTGTATCCTGAGATATCTCGTAAGGAAATCGAAAATGGGACATCCTGTACTTTGGTGGCGAATATAAATCTCGACCTTATTTAAACAATTTTTTATATGGGGTTGTTGCGAAGCACTAGTACTTAATAGTTATTTAACCAACTAGTGTATTAATGAGGGCGATTAATGATTGAGATATTTTAACGTGCGAAATACCTCGAAAAAATATTTGAATTCGTGTAATCGTGTATGCTTGGTTGTCTATGCTACTATAGTGCATTAATAGACAAATCGTTCATTAATAGGGGTCATTAATGAACGATTTCATATACATTAAACTTAGTCGTTAATACGAGGTCGACGAAAACCCTGTTAAACCAAGTCTGATTCGTTAATTCTTTTTCTGAAAGAATTTTCAAATTTCAAGAGAATTAGCCAAGCGAAAAACCATCTTACCGGACCCAGTACAGCTCGGATCGACCAAAACGTACTCGACCCCCGGAAAATCCTCGGCATTACATGTTAACACGTCCTTGTTCACGGTCTTCACGCATTTCGCGCCCGAGGACAAGACGATCTTATCGAGAGTCTCGAAACGTCGCTTGTCCCGCTCGACGGCCCACACCGTCCCGTCGTCGTTGATAGCCGCCGCCAGGTGGGTGGTCTTCATGCCGGGGGCGGCACACATGTCCAGGACTTTGCTGCCCGGCGGCGGGGCCAGGATGTGGACGGGCAGACAACTCGCCTGGAAAATAATGGGGAAATAGGGCACTGGGACGAAATAGCGCAGGACAAAATAGCGCAGGACGAAATAGCGCGGACAAAATAGCGCAGGGTCATAATAGCGCAGGGACATAATAGCGCAGAGACAAAATAGCGCAGAGACAAAATAGCGGAGACAAAATAGCGCAGAGACGATATAGCGCAGAGACAAATTTGAGCGCGAAAACGTAGTGCATCATCTATGATTACGATAATTCGTTTGTCAGGGCATAGACTATTTCTTCAAATACTAGATGTTTCAAAAGGAGAGTACCCTTACAAACGAAGTAACTTAATACTAGGTATGCCGTTGGATTGTTAAAGTAGACCTATGATTACGTTAGTTTGTTTGCTAGGGTATAGACTCATTTTGAAACACCTTGTATTTGAAGAATGAGTCTTTACTCTAACAAACGAACAAACCTAATCATAGATCCTGCACTCCATTTTCGCGCGCAATTTTATTCCTGCGCTATTTTGTCTCTGCGCTATTTCGTCTCTGCGCTATTATGACCCTGCGCTATTTCGTCTCTGCGCTATTTCGTCTCTGCGCTATTTCGTCTCTGCGCTATTTCGTCCCTGCGCTATTTTGTCCTGCGCTATTTTGTCCTGCGCTCTTTTGTCCGCGCTATTTTGTCCTGCGCTATTTCGTCCCAGTGCCGGGAAATAGTATATTGTTTAACCCATGTAATCCCAAGTATACGAAAAATATGAAAACACGCGTTATAGACAAGTAGTTATTTATTATACAAGGGAAAAAAGTAGATTTTAGCTCCAGGTTGTGTTGTCTCCCGACGCGTAGGAGACAAAAAACCGTGAGCTAAAATCTAATATTTTTCCCGTGTATAATACAATATTTATTTCTGTGACAGAAGAAAGGACGAATCAATATTGAGAAGATATTACATTATCTTAAAATCTGAAAATTATCGACGTGAAATTTTAAGTTTTTAACAGTAGGGACAACTGCGTTGTAAGCATCTTTATCATTTTTTTGAAGTAATCAAATATCTGATGTCACTTCTGTCAGTCTAATTCTGTGATTTGATTCCAAAAAATTCCGAATTTAGTGGTTGTTTAGTAATATACGTAAACGCGAAGTCGAATGGAAGATAAAAGGACTTGCAGTTCTTTCTCGGAGACGGTATTATTGACTCATTTTTCGGAACTATAGCACAACAAAAGCCATCAACAGTGTATATATATATGTGATTTTTTTTGTGACGGGAAAAAAGTTTGACATTTCTTCTCTGTTGTCACTTTTCATGAATTATTTTTTTCCCGTAGAAAAAAAGTGAGTACTTCCCGGATATATATCACATATATATACTCTGTTAATGGCTTTTGTTGTGCTATAGTTCCGAAAAATGAGTCAATAATACCGTCTCCGAGAAAGAACTGCAAGTCCTTTTATCTTCCATTCGACTTCGCGGTTTCGTATATTACTAAACAACTACTGAATTCGCGATTTTTTAAAATCAAATCACAGAATTGAACTGACATAAGTGACATCAGATATTTGATTACTTCAAAAGAATGATAAAGATGTCTATAAAACGCAGGTGTCCCTACTGTTAAAAACTTGAAATTTCACGTCGATAATTTTCAGATTTCGAAATAATGTAATATCTTCTCAATATTGATTCGTCCTTCCTTCTGTCACAGAAAAAAATAGTGTATTATACACGGGAAAAATATTAGATTTTAGCTCACGGTTTTTTGTCTCCCTCCGCTACGCGTCGGGAGACAACACAACCTGGAGCTAAAATCTACTACTTTTTTCCCTTGTATAATAAATAACTATTATTATCTTACATTCTGAAATGAGTTTTCGTGATCATCGACAATGGAAAAAACTAACTTCACAAAAAATTACGATGGTTCATACACGCACCACTGGCAAGAAAAGTGAGAAAATATTTTTTTTTTATTTCCGAAAAACTGTTCCAAGCATTAAATTGCTAAAGGAGGTGATAACCATACAGTAAAATGAAAAATAAAATAGTTGGGCCCCAACGAGTTGAAAATAAACCAGGTGATCTCAGTTTGCTCATTGGTGCACGAACGAACCACTGGTAGGAAGTAACAATCAAATAATCTACCCTTGGTGATATTTTGCGAAGCATGATACGTGCAAATGTTCGTTACATTTTCGACAAATAGAAATTGAGTGGTTATGACAAACTCTACATCTTCTTTGAGCTCTATTTTCATGAGGTATAAGAATATGGCCAATGATATCGAAACGAATTTCAGAAACAGGGCGAGGTATATTTCTCACTACGTATACTCTCTCATTTTTCAAGAAACGTAGAGCAATTTATGATATGAAATCAATTTGTGACATTTTAGTTTGATTGGCTTAATTATAGAGCTTCCAAGCATTGACAATTATACTATCTAGAGCATTGCGAAACATGGGCCACCACCATTTCTTCCCCAACACTCCTCATCTACAACGGGAATGAAGTTTGCAGCATGAGTCATAGGCAAAACTATTCATTATCGGTCAAAACGGCTCACATGTTCTCATCTCAACTTTTGATTCACTATTTACTGATATTTAATCAGAACAGATACAGGATGGTTCAAGATTCAGAATTCTGATAAGGGACATGTGAGCCGTTTTGGCTCATAATGAAAAGTTTCGACACAAACAAATCCTACAGTTGAAAAATCTCGATTTTGAACACCCTATATCTCTGTAATCATTCCATATAGACCCCAAGTTTGATGTATTGATGAAATCAGCTCTCCAGGGATAATCTAAAAATGCAATGAAATACAGGGTATTCTTTTTGATATAACAAAGTTGTTGCTACTTGTTGATAGAAACGGCAACACTGCATTGCTGAAATTATTTTAAATGAATAGAGCGCGTATTCTAAAATATAAGCATGCATATTTTCACGTATTTCTCCTGACTGATTCTCGATATAGAGATAGTATAAGCTCGTCGTGACATAACCTGTATGTTTCGTACCGTTTTTTTGTATTTTTTCCGACCGAGGAATACTCTCTTCTGATTTTCGTGCTTTCTGTTCGAAACTGTATTTTTCCCGATCAAGAAATGCTTTTTTCTGATTTTCGTGCTTTCTGTTCGAAACTGTATTTTTTAAGAATCTACCATCTTCAATAACTGTGATACAGAACGTTATCTCGATTTTGGCAAAATCTTCATTTATGGTCAGGTCATAACTTTTGAACCACTGTGTATAATCGATCCATACTTGGTAGATATATTCAAGTCATCTTTCTCATCAAAACTAAATATGAATCGAATTTAGAATCCAGATCCGTCTTCAGACAAAACAAAAAACTTCTTTTTTTTTTTCAACAGTGCGCATCCAATTTGAAAAATAGAATTTTTATTGAACTCGTTATTCGAAAAATCCAATTTTATTACAAAAAAATAACCAGTCCTCAAATTTCAACTTAATCAGAGCAGAATTAGGTAAACTATCGATGGATTTCGTTCCATAGAACAATTTGTCAATTATTTTAGATATTTTCGAGTGCTCATTACATTTTCACACACAAATTAATCAAGTATTTTACACTCTTGAATTTTTGTACGTAGATTCATATTCCGAAATTATCTATTTTAGTATTGTCAGTAATTTTATATACATATTATAATACGTCTCCGAAGTTTTTGTGATTGTTTAACACCGGAGTTCTTTCATTTCATTCATTTTTATATTTATCCATTTTGATTATTTTGTACATAAAAATTTTACACTCTTGAATTTTTGTACCTACTTACTTTTATATTCCGAAATTATTAATCTCAGTGTTTTCAATAATAGCTCGTCAAACGAAATTCATACTATTTCACCACGTACAAACAGCATTTGCTGCTTCTGTGGGTTTTCTAATGTTGATTCACCTAATGTTAACTTGCTATCATTATTTCTTCCATTGTATTCTGATTCTTTCGAAATAAACATATTATTATTATTATTATTATTATACGAAATGTCAATTTAGATGCGCGTTTATAAAAAGTAGACCACATTGTTCATTATTTTTCTCTTCTTTCCAATTAACAAAACATATCTAGATATTTTGAGAAAGATTATATTTTCAGCCTGGGTTAATTTTTTTTAAATCATTAGACTTTCGGAAATAATACTGTGAGTATATCCGTGTTCAATACTTATATATTTTGTATACTAAAAAATCTCTTTTCCCCCCGTATAATTCCATTATCAACATTAGTCATAGATAAATCAATTGTTCGGAAATTAATCGGTTAGCAGCATGAATCAACTCATTAGTCATTCGTTTTAGATGTATGACAAACTGACATTCATCATACAGGGCGTGGAAAGAAATTCTGAATTGAGAAAAAACCCAATCACGAATCTGCGATTGAAGGTCTATAAAAATAACAAGTTTCCATCGTTCAATATCATTAGTCATTCATTCGGCACCAGGTGGTAAATCAAGACAGTTTTATATTAGATGTCTTCACGTACAGTCGAATTGTGTGATAGACATTTAAAAATACGCGAAAGGAATTATTTATCGGTCCAAAGGGAGTGTTTCCTAAAAAATGAGTGATAGTAATGTGCAGAAATCATTTTTTACCTTTTTCACGATGGTGAGTTTTGAAATTTTTTTTATTATGAGTGATAGTATAAGCTGATAGGTATTTTGAGCCGATACCACTCGATACATCTAGAAATCTTAGAGTAGGTACTCCTTTGATTCATTTTCATATACATATACGAATTTTTTGTGAGAAATGTATGCGATTAAAACAAACCCGAAAAAAATTTGTCAATCCGTATCGCTGTGCTAGGCTAGGTACCGCAACTGCCAATTTTCACAGAGAAATTTTCTAAGTTCTTTGAAATGGTCACACACGAATTGTTAAACTCTTATTATTATCCATATACTAAGATTGAAAATTTGTCTCGAAATACCCTGTACTAATTGTATAATTTGCTATAGTATATTATATTTATATTCAGCCCG